TGTCTCTGGGGGTGCTGAGCCTGGGGGTGCGGAGTCTGGGGATGCCGTGCCTGTGCGTGAGGAGCCTGGCGGTGCTGAGCTTGGGGGTGTCGAGTCTGAGGGTGCTGTGCCTGCGCGTGAGGAGCCTGGAGGTGCTGAGCTTGCGGGTGCCGAGTCTGCGAGTACTGAGCCTACGCGTGAGGAGCCTGGGGGTGCTGGCGCTGGAGGTTCTGGAGCAGCTGGGGGTGCTGGCGCTGAGGGTTCTGAGTCTGCTGTTGCGCGGTCTCCTTGGAGTAGCCGCCTTCGTCCACGTGTGCCTCTCACCCCACAGCAGCTCCAGGACTGGTACGGTCACCGTCAGCGTCGCGCTGCTGGAGCTAGGAGTGGTGCTGGACCTTTGTCTACTGGAGGTGCTGGAGTCGCTGGTTCTGGAGGTACTCGTACTGGAGACACTGAGGCTGGAGACCCTGGGACTGGAGGTGCTGGCTCTGGGGGTGCTGCTGCTGGTGACACTGAGGCTGGAGACCCTGGGACTGGGGGTGCTGGTTCTGGGGGTGCTACTGCTGGAGACACAGGGGCTGGAGACCCTGGGACTGGAGGTGACGACTCTGGGACTGGAGCTTCTGGAGCTGCTGGAGGTTCTGGAGCTGCTGGAGGCACTGGAGCTGCTGGGGGTACTGGAGCTGCTGGAGCTGCCGGTACTGATGCAGCTGCGCCGACACGACTGTTCTTCGCTCCGCCGTCTCCGTCGTCTCTGCCGCCGTCTGACTCTGTTCTTCGTCAGGTTCTTACTCTCCCGTCGTCTACTGGTCTTCCGTTACAGCCTGGCTCACCGCTGCCTGCTCCTTCTCCTTACACTGAGCAGACTGGTAGTCCTGCTGAGCGTCGTGAGCCTGTGTCGCGTCCTGTCTCGCCTGCTCGTCCCGGTCGTCGTGTTCCTCGTTCGCGTCAGCAGGCTGTCCCCAGCACACACCTCGTAGTTCGTCGTCCTTCCTCTGCTCTGCAGCCTGTTCCTCTTCCGTCTCCTCCTGCGTCCTCTCTACCTGACGTTCCAGACCCTGAGTCTGACCGGTTTCGTGCTGAGCACCCTACTGTCACGCGTCTGCTAGCCACTGTTGTCACTGACCCGTCGTTTGAGTCTACTGCTGCGTCTGCTCTTGTCGCTGAGCTTGTTGACTTTGCTGCTGCCTGTCGTCTAGACTACGCCGCCAGTCTTGTTGCTGCGTCTGCGTCTGTCTGTCCTCCGTCCGTCGGGGGTGCGTGTGCTCTTAGCACGGACGTCCTTGAAGACAGGTAGGAGGAGTTCCAGTGTCTTGCTGCTGCTTTACCTCATCTTGTGTCCTCGCTACTTGCCCCTGAGGGAGACCCGGATGCACCAGACATCCCGACTCCGCGCTCTTACGCAGAGGCGATAGAGAGTCCCTACTCCTCTCAGTGGCAGGCAGCCATGGACGCAGAGATGGCTTCCTGGAAGTCCACAGGCACCTATGTCGACGAGGTTCCCCCACCTGGGGCGAACATCGTCAGTGGCATGTGGATTTTCAGGGTGAAGCGGCCGCCGGGTTCTCCGCCTGTCTTCAAGGCGCGTTACGTGGCTCGAGGCTTCAGTCAGCGAGAGGGAGTTGACTTCTTCCAGACCTTCTCCCCCACCCCGAAGATGACCACTCTTCGGGTGCTGCTGCACGTTGCTGCTCACCGTGACTACGAGCTTCACTCTCTTGACTTCAGCACTGCTTTCTTACAGGGCAGCCTGCACGAGGAGATCTGGCTGCGCCGCCCCCCGGGCTTCACTGGGTCGTTCCCTCCTGGCACCCAGTGGAGCCTCCGACGGCCGGTCTACGGTCTCCGCCAGGCGCCACGTGAGTGGCACGACACACTGAGGACGACACTTGCGGCTCTTGGGTTTGCGCCTTCTACTGCTGACCCGTCGCTGTTTCTGCGCACAGACACTTCACTGCCGCCGTTCTACATCCTCGTGTACGTCGACGACTTGGTTTTTGCCACTGCTGACACTGAGGCTCTCGCCCACGTGAAGTCGGAGCTACAGAAGAGACACACGTGCACTGACTTGGGTGAGCTGCGCAGCTACCTTGGCTTGCAGATCACCCGGGACAGAGCACGCCGCACCATCACCTTGACTCAGTCACACATGGTGCAGCAGGTCCTTCAGCGCTTCGGCTTCACCTGGTCTTCAGCACAGGCCACTCCTCTGGCTACAGGTCACACGCTCTCAGCTCCACCTTCGGACGAGTCCGTAGAGCCGAGTGGTCCTTACCCAGAGCTAGTCGGCTGCCTCATGTACCTGATGACTTGCACTCGACCTGACCTCGCGTACCCTCTTGGTCTCCTCGCTCGCTACGTGGCTCCTGGTCGACACCGACCTGAGCACATGGCTGCTGCTAAGAGGGTACTGCGCTACTTGTGCAGCACATCAGGCATGGGGCTAGTGCTTGGAGGGACGAGCCCAGTTGTCCTCACTGGGCACTCAGACGCTTCTTGGGTTGACGACCTGGCTACTCAGCGGTCGTCACAGGGTTACACCTTCAGCCTTGGCTCTGGTTCAGTTTCGTGGCGTTCTACACGCTCGTCTTCAGTTCTTGGCTCCAGTTGTGAGGCTGAGATCTACGCCACCGCCATGGCTGCACAGGAGTTACGCTGGCTCACCTACCTGCTGACTGACTTGGGAGAGCAGCCTCGTTCTCCTCCAGTGCTGTACGTTGACAACAAGGCCGCCATTGCCTTGTGTGAGGAGCACAGACTGGAACACAGAACGAAGCACATTGCTCTGCGTTACTTCCTGGCTCGAGAGTTGCAGCAGCGAGGCCAGCTTTGTCTTCGTTACGTGGCCACTCGGGCCAACACTGCTGATATATTCACCAAGGCACTTCCGTCTGGTGATCATCAGCGCTTTTGTACTCTGTTAGGCCTTGTGCCTATGCTTCCACACTTGCTGTAGTCTTTGCTTGTACTGTGATCTATATACCTATATACCTGCATGCTGGCTCTTGCTAGGTAGCTCGACACTGTACTGTCATTGCTGCATATATATCTCTGCATGTGAACTGGCCTTGTGGCCATTTGCTTGTGCTCAGAATGTGTGGTGACGTTGTGATCCACCCTGAGCTTGTTTTGTTTCTCTTGACTGGTCTTGTGACCCATTGCTCTCCCCCACTTTGCCTATGGGGGTGTGTCAAATGATATATATATGTGATACATATTGGTAGGCTGTAGTGGGGTAGATGTTATAGGGGATAACCCCTTAGGGTTTTCCTACTTGTAAAATTTCTCTCGATAGTCAACTCACCTTGCCTAGCTATCTCAACATGCCCCTCCCCCTTCCTCGTCCCCTCTCCATCCCCCTCCCCTTCCCCTCCTTCTTCTCATCCCCCCCAGAAATCCTCGCTCTCCCTCGCGGTGGTTCAATCCGCGGAGGTTTTTGTGCCCGCCGACGTGGGGCGGAGGGCCGTCATCCGCATAGCTTTCACTGCCGGGGAGCAGGAGGGCGTTTTGCGGAGACTGCTGCGCGGCCCTGGCAGCACAGTTGCGGTGCAGGCCGAGATTGCGGGAACGTCACACGAACTACACCGTTATAAGCTGGAGAGATTTGTTACATCAGGATAAAGTGCAGTAGGCGTACAGTTTTGTTTTGTCCTTACAGGAGAATTTTTATTACTGGGCATCACCAGTTGTGACTGCATCTTGGTTGAGCGGGCGCTGCTAACATGCTAACAGTGACTGGCTGGATGGCTCTCAGTTTTTTTTGTGCTGTTGCATGTAGCTCCCCCTCTCCCCTGTTTTCCATGCCTAGAGTGCATGGGAGTGCATGCTGTGTGCAGCTGCTCGTATATCAGGATTGGGAACCTCAGAGGGCACTTGCATTGCATGCATGCATGTTAGCTTCTGCAGGGCCCCACCCTACCCATGACTTCACACGGTTTTGAATTGAAGCCATTACAGGAGCAAAACACTGCCTAACAGCTATGTATGAGGTTTCGCTGTAAGATTACTTTGCCATATACCGTATTCTCCCGGACATAACACCCTAGGGTAGATCTAAAAATACAGGAAAAAAAAGGGGGGTGTCTTCTCATAGGAAAAAGCTACATAATACCCGGGTGCATATATATGGTATATTTTAGTGTTAGAGTTTTTTTTATTAGAGGTGTTGAGTGTTTCCATTGGCTTTTTAACATCACATTCTGAGGCGCGAATGTCAGTTTCGACGCGAACGTCATCACCCCCTCGAAAATGTCATTTGGCACCCCTCTGTCCACCTGCAGCGAAAGATTCGCCAGCACGTGGCGACAGCGAAATAGTGGGCGGGGGTGAATCTCGGTAAATTTGATGTGAAAGAACTGGGAGATTTCATCGAGCGAAGGATTTTCGCGATATACTCCCGTACTCGCGCCTATTCGTTAACAGCTATAATATACAATCTGTAAGAAAAGGGGGGTGTTATAAAAAATCATCCAAAAAGGGGGGTATAGTGAAATCGAGGTCGCCCATAGCACCCACCCCGCACAAGCTACCCGGGGGTGCTCTATCATGGGGGGGTGTTTTGTCCGGGAGAATACGGTACCGTACCGGCCCTGTGCAACGTACCTACCCCCCCCCCCCCCCCCCCCCCCTGCTTCCACCACACCCATTCCAGCTGCTTCATCCAAACCAAAACCCCAATTCATCACCCATATTGCCCAACCCAATCCTAATGACCGATCTCCACCACCGCTCGCCGACCCCTTGGTTTACGGCAGGCACCTCAGGAACATATGCAGCAAACCATGCCCGCCGCCACCATGCCTGCCATGTGGCATGGCACCTGGCACAGCATCCACCAGCCAGCCCATCTACTCATCCTCATCGCTCTCCACCACTCTCTTCCTCCGCCACGCAACCGCCTTCTTACTCTTCTCCCTCTCCTCCATCCAATCCTATTTCGGAAGTGCCTACAAAACCCTGCATACAAACACACATACCACCCGGCATGGCACCTGTGGCATGGCATCCCCCAGCCACCCCATCTACTCATCCTCATCGCTCTCCACCACTCTCTTCCTCCGCCACGCAGCCGCCTTCTTACTCTCCTCCCTCTCCTCCATCCAGTCCTCTTCATCCCCCCCCTGCTCCTCCCCCCCTCTCCGCCCATACCCCTCCTCATCAGATTCCTCCACTCTCCTGCCCCTGCCCCCCCGTCCCTCATCATACCCCCCGCGGCCCCTATCCTCGTCTGAGTCCTCCTCATCACTGTATCTCCCTCCCCTGCCTGAGCTCTTTGCAGCCTTGGCAGGGCGATGGTCGTAGGAGGGGGAGCGCTGGCATGATGAAAAAGGCAAGGGGAATGGGGAAAGGAAGGGGGGTGAGGAGCGCACAGGAGTGCAGGGTAGAGAGGGCCTGTGCCGTTTGTGAGTCCTCCTCATCGCTGTACCGCCCTCCTCTGCCCGAGGTCTTTGCAGCCTTGGCGGGGCGATGGTCGTAGGAGGGGGAGCGCTGATGGGGAATGGTATGGGAGGGCGCAGGCAGGGTGAAAGAGGCAAGGGGGTTGTGAGTGCATGCTAGAAAGGGATGGTCCAGGTTTCACCTACCCCCCTCGCCCCTATCCTCGTCTGACTCATCGCTGTACCGCCCTCCTCTGCCTGACGCCTTTGCCGCCTTGGCGGCGCGAAGCTCATAGGAGGGGGAGCGCTGATGGGGGGAGGACGCAGGCAGGATGCAAGAGGCAAGGGGGAGTGGGGAAAGGAAGGGGGGTGAGGAGCGCAAAAGAGTGCAGGGTATAGCTCTACAGGCCTCGCCCTGGTCAGGCAACAGGGCGAGGGAGAGAGAAAGGGATGCGGGAATGAGATTGAGGTTATGTGATGAGGGGACAATGAGGTGAGAGGAAGAGAAAGGCTAGTCAAGCACTCACCCTCTTCCCTTGTCGCCGATCGTATCTGTCCTCCTCTTCCTCCTCTTCCTCCTCATAATCGTCCTCTTCCTCCTCGTCCTCCTCGTTCTCGTACTCGTTCCGCCGCCCGCCCCCTCCCCTCCCTCGATCCCGCCCATACCCATAGCCCTCTTCGTCCCTCTGTTGCAGCACATGCCATGCAATGCAGCGTCAGGTGTGGCCCCGGTATCATGTAAAGGCATGCCGTGTCATATTGTACAACGCCATTCACATACCATATCATCTCATGTCCAGGTCACACCACACACCAAGCTATGCCACCACACACCAAGCCATGCCACCACAGCACCATGCAACACACAGCATCATGCAACACACATCACCATGCAACACACATCGCCATGCAACACAAAACACCATGCAACACACATCACCATGCAACACACATCGCCATGCAACACACATCACCATGCAACACACATCACCATGCAACACACATCACCATGCAACACACATCGCCATGCAACACAAAACACCATGCAACACACATCACCATGCAAGACAAAGCACCCCAGCACACAGCACCACGCAGCACACAGCACCATGCATGCAGCACAGGCCAAACACAAGACATTAAGGCATCTGAGAGAAAGGCATCTGAGAGAAAGGCATCTGAGAAGAAAGAATCTGAGAAAAAGGCATCTGAGAAGAAGGCTGAGGTAACAGCTGGTGGTATCAGCACCGCCAGCTGTTACGACCAAAACCCTGACAGCACTCCACTCACCTGCTGCCGGTATCCTCCCCCCCCCATATCGCTGCTGCTCGCGGTCGCGTGCAGCACGCTGCTGCGGCTGGTTGGAGAACTTCCTTTGCCCCACACACGTGCTCCACAACAAAGAGAACCAGATCACCCCTGCATGCACGCACCTGTTGCCGATATCCCCTGCCGTATCGCTGCTGCTCGCGGTCGCGCGCAGCGCGCTGCTGCGGCTGGTTGGAGTACTTCCGCGCGCGCTTCTCCTGCTCCTGCCTTAGTGTCTCCTTGGTGCGGATCTGCTGCTGTATGCTCTGTTGGTGGGAGGGGGAGGGCAAGAGGGGTTTGTTACTCCTGAAACTGCACAAGGAGACACAAGGCGCAATTCATATAGCTTCTCCTGCTCCTGCCTCAGTGTCTCCTTGGTGCGGATCTGCTGCTGTATGCTCTGTTGGTGGGAGGGGGAGGGCAAGAGGGGTTTGTTACTCCTGAAACTGCACAAGGAGACACAAGGCGCAATTCATATAGCTTCTCCTGCTCCTGCCTTAGTGTCTCCTTGGTGCAGATATGCTGTTGTATGCTCTGTTGGTGGGAGGGGGAGGGCAAGAGGGGTTTGTTACTCCTGAAACTGCACAAGGAGACACAAGGCGCAATTCATATAGCTTCTCCTGCTCCTGCCTTAGTGTCTCCTTGGTGCGGATCTGCTGCTGTATGCTCTGTTGGTGGGAGGGGGAGGGCAAGAGAGGTTTGTTACTCCTGAAACTGCACAAGGAGACACAAGGCGCAATTCATATAGCTTCTCCTGCTCCTGCCTTAGTGTCTCCTTGGTGCGGATCTGCTGCTGTATGCTCTGTTGGTGGGAGGGGGAGGGCAAGAGGGGTTTGTTACTCCTGAAACTGCACAAGGAGACACAAGGCGCAATTCATATAGCTTCTCCTGCTCCTGCCTCAGCGTCTCCTTGGTGCGGATCTGCTGCTGTATGCTCTGTTGGTGGGAGGGGGAGGGCAAGAGGGGTTTGTTACTCCTGAAACTGCACAAGGAGACACAAGGCGCAATTCATATAGCTTCTCCTGCTCCTGCCTTAGTGTCTCCTTGGTGCAGATATGCTGTTGTATGCTCTGTTGGTGGGAGGGGGAGGGCAAGAGGGGTTTGTTACTCCTGAAACTGCACAAGGAGACACAAGGCGCAATTCATATAGCTTCTCCTGCTCCTGCCTTAGTGTCTCCTTGGTGCGGATCTGCTGCTGTATGCTCTGTTGGTGGGAGGGGGAGGGCAAGTGGGGTTTGTTACTCCTGAAACTGCACAAGGAGACACAAGGCGCAATTCATATAGCTTCTCCTGCTCCTGCCTCAGCGTCTCCTTGGTGCGGATCTGCTGCTGTATGCTCTGTTGGTGGGAGGGGGAGGGCAAGAGGGGTTTGTTATTCCTGAAACTGCACAAGGAGACACAAGGCGCAATTCATATAGCTTCTCCTGCTCCTGCCTCAGCGTCTCCTTGGTGCGGATCTGCTGTTGTATGCTCTGTTGGTGGGAGGGGGAGGGCAAGAGGGGTTTGTTACTCCTGAAACTGCACAAGGAGACACAAGGCGCAATTCATATAGCTTCTCCTGCTCCTGCCTCAGCGTCTCCTTGGTGCGGATCTGCTGCTGTATGCTCTGTTGGTGGGAGGGGGAGGGCAAGAGGGGTTTGTTACTCCTGAAACTGCACAAGGAGACACAAGGCGCAATTCATATAGCTTCTCCTGCTCCTGCCTCAGCGTCTCCTTGGTGCGGATCTGCTGCTGTATGCTCTGTTGGTGGGAGGGGGAGGGCAAGAGGGGTTTGTTACTCCTGAAACTGCACAAGGAGACACAAGGCGCAATTCATATAGCTTCTCCTGCTCCTGCCTTAGTGTCTCCTTGGTGCGGATATGCTGTTGTATGCTCTGTTGGTGGGAGGGGGAGGGCAAGAGGGGTTTGTTACTCCTGAAACTGCACAAGGAGACACAAGGCGCAATTCATATAGCTTCTCCTGCTCCTGCCTCAGCGTCTCCTTGGTGCGGATCTGCTGCTGTATGCTCTGTTGGTGGGAGGGGGAGGGCAAGAGGGGTTTGTTACTCCTGAAACTGCACAAGGAGACACAAGGCGCAATTCATATAGCTTCTCCTGCTCCTGCCTCAGCGTCTCCTTGGTGCGGATCTGCTGTTGTATGCTCTGTTGGTGGGAGGGGGAGGGCAAGAGGGGTTTGTTACTCCGCAAGGCGGGAAGGAAGGGGATGAAGCGGGGTTTATTACGCCTGTTCCTGCCTTGAAAGGCACCTGATGACACCCAGAACTTCTCTTGCTCCTGCCTCAGAGTCCCCTTGGTGCGGATATGCTGTTGTATGCTCCACCAAGCGGGAGAGGTGGGGAGTGGAGTGATAGGGAGGTGAGAGAGGGGAAGCGGACAATGGGACAGGCAAGGAGATAAGTGAAGGGGCTCTGTGACTCACACACGATCGTGGTGATTAACACATACACACGCACACTCTCTTCACACACACACGAGCGCGCTCCTCCTCCTCCTCCTTCACACACTTGCACAAGAACAAGCACACAAAGACACTCTCTTTCTCGCACGACCATGTGCACTGCCACTGACTCACTGACTCACTGACTCACTCAATCACCGACCAACCGACCGATCGACCGACCGACTGACTGACAGACACGCCAGCGCGCTCACCCGCTCGCGCTCCTCCTTCTCCTTCTCGGGGTCGCCCGTGGTGACGATGCTCTTGATCACTCTACTAACTCGCTGATTCACTGACTGACCGACTGACTGACCGACTGACTGACAAGCAACCACACCGTGCTCACTGACCCGCTCGCACTCCTCCTTCTCCTTCTCGGGGTCGCCCGTGGTGACGATGCTCTTGAGCTCCTTGTTCTTGCTCACTCACTCACTCACCCACTCACTCACTCACTCACTCACTCACTCACTCACTGACCCGCTCGCGCTCCTCCTTCTCCTTTTCGGGGTCGCCCGTGGTGACGATGCTCTTGAGCTCCTTGCCCTTGCGGTACTTTGAGTCCAGCCCCAGCGTCAGCTTCTTGTGGATCAGACCACACCCGCTCACACCCGCACATGCTCACACACACTCTCTCTTTCCCACGCAAGAATGTGCGCTGTGACTGACTGACTCACTCACTCACTCACTCACTCACTCACTCACTCGCTCACTCACTCACTCACTCACTCACTCACAGGCACGCTATCACGCTCACCCGCTCGCGCTCCTCCTTCTCCTTTTCGGGGTCGCCCGTGGTGACGATGCTCTTGAGCTCCTTGCCCTTGCGGTACTTTGAGTCCAGCCCCAGCGTCAGCTTCTTGTGGATCAGACTGTGCGTGTCGAACGGCCGGAACCGCATCTTTTCAAGAAGCTGCCCCTGCCCCTGCACCACCCCTTGCTGCGCGCGGGTGGGCGTGGAGGGAGGAAGAGGAGCGGGTGTTAGAAAAGGGCACCAGATATTGTGGATCCGGCTGTGCGTGTCAAACGGCCGCAACCGCATCTTCTCCAGCAGTGACCCCTGCTCCTGCGCCATCCCTTGCTGGTCGTGTACAGACAGGAAAGAAAATGAGGAGCGTGAGAGGGAGCGAGAGGAGGAGGGAGCGAGCAGGTGCATCTTTCAGAAAGGAATTGTGTGAATGTGTGCAGCATGCTCTGTGTGTGTGAGTACATTGGGGTTGAGGTTGGGGTAGTAGCAGCACCTTGAGGCAGGGGTACTACCAGTTCTTTTGGACACAGAAGCTTGGAGCCATAACATTACCTTGGGTCGGTGCACACCTTGGGGTGGCGAACAAAGAGGTGCGCCTTGTCGTGCTGCATGCTCTTGATGTCTGTCGCCAGCACCTCAGGCTTGCGGTACTACTAGTCCAGTACTTTAGGGGAAAAGTACCTTGGTCCTTCTGGTACCAACAGCACCTTGGGGTGGCGAACGAAGAGGTGTGCCTTGTCGTGCTGCATGCTCTTGATGTCTGTCGCCAGCACCTCAGCGCCCAGCAGCAGATGCAGCGAGCCGTCTGACCATCGAACCATGCGCGCGTTGCTCTCCACCTGGTGGGATGGAGTGAGGCGAGGGGTGAGAGGTGAGCGGTAAGAGGTGAGTGGTGAGATGAAAGTGAGAGATCAACAACAGAACACAGTATGCTTCATTTCGACCACCGCACGTCGCCAGCACTTCCGCACCCAGCAGCAGATGCAGCGAGCCATCCGACCATCGCACCATGCGCGCATTGCTCTCCACCTGGTGGGATGGGATGATAGGTGGGATGAGCGGCGAGAGATAAACGACGGCACACATTATGTTTTGTTCGACCAACGCACATTGGCACACAAGCGGCCAGCAGCAGATGCAGCGAGCCATCTGACCACCGCACCATGCGCGCATTGCTCTCCATCCCACACCCACCCTCATCCCACACCCACCCTCATCCCACACCCACCCTCATCCCACACCCACCCTCATCCCACACCCACCCTCATCCCACACCCACCCTCATCCCACACCCACCCTCATCCCACACCCACCCTCATCCCACACCCACTCCCATCCCACACCTACCCCCATGGAGCCATCGGAACGGCGCACGTGGCGCCAGCGAATGAGGTTCTGCACTCTCCCCCATGCCACGTTTATACCACCACCTCCATGCACTGATATGGCATCGCATGCTGGCATTCAGCAAGAGCCCTGCACCCTCCCCCCACCCCCATGCCGCACTCACCCCCATGGAGCCGTCGGGGCGGCGCACGTGGCGCCAGCGAATGAGGTTCTGCGGGCCACCCTCCTCGTAGGTGTCGGGGTCAAAGGGCGCTGCTTGAATACCCACTATGTTGCTCGCCATCACCATCACCATCTGGCGCGGGGGGAGAGAGAAGTAGAGTGTTTTGGAGAGGGGTGGAGAGAGGTAGAGTGTGTTGAGAGGGGTGGAGAGGAGCAGAAAGCGGCCATGAGGGTCAAAGAGAGCTGCCTGGATGCCCACTATGTTGCTCGGCATCACCATCACCATCTGGCAGGCAGTGAGTTATGAAGGGGTGGAGAGGAGAAGAGAGGGATCGGAAAGGACAGAGAGTGTAAGAGGAGAGGAGAGCAGCAGTCACAACTCTAGGCAGGTAGGGATGGGGGTATGGAGCGGAGCGATCAACAAGGATGCATGCATGCGACCAGCACAGACACACAACCCACCCTCTACGTCCCACGGTACCTTGTCGGGTGGAGCGGGGGGATCAAAGAGAGAGAGGTCGAGCTCCAAAGGAGGCCCCTTGGGTCGCTCCCTCGCCCTCCGCCGCTCCCCCCCCTCCTCATCCCACCGCCCCTCCTCGTCATAGCCGCCCCGCTCTTGCCTCTGCTCCTCCTCCTCCGACTCATACCCATGCCGTTGCTGAGAGGGACGAGGGGAGAGAGGGGAAGGGGGAGACAAAGGGGAAATTTGAGACGTCTCAAAACTCATCCCATCCTCGTCATAGCCGTCCCTCTCGTGCCTCTGATCCTCCTCCTCCGACTTGTACCCATGCCGCTGCTGCGTGGAACCAGGGGAGGGAGGGGAAGGGGGAGACAAGGGGGAAATTTAAGACGTCTCAAAACTCAACCCACCGCCCCTCCTCGTCATAGGCGCCCCTCTCATGCCTCTGCTCCTCCTCCGACTCGTACCCATGCCGCTGCTGAGAGGGACGAGCGGAGGGGGAGGCAGGGGGGAAAGAGGGGGGAAAGTGGGGGATGGCAGGAGGAACAGCGAAGGCATGTGAGGATGCAGTGGCAAAGTGCGGAGCTGCGCGCGTGCGTGCGTGAGTGCGTGCATGCGTGTGCTGCGGGGTGAAAACTTAGAGGCCACAGCACCAGCTTTTGAGGCGCCTCTAGAAAAGCTTCCATCTCAGCGAGGCAGGCAAGAGGAGGAGAACTTTACAGGGGATGCCAGGGGAGTGCCTTACAGGGGATGCCAGGGGAGTGCCTTACAGGGGATGCCAGGGGAGTGCCTTACAGGGGATGCCAGGGGAGTGCCTTACAGGGGATGCTAGGGGAGTGCCTTACAGGGGATGCCAGGGGAGTGCCTTACAGGGGATGCCAGGGGAGTGCCTTACAGGGGATGCCAGGGGAGTGCCTTACAGGGGATGCCAGGGGAGTGCCTTACAGGGGATGCCAGGGGAGTGCCTTACAGGGGACGCCAGGGGAGTGCCTTACAGGGGACGCCAGGGGAGTGCCTTACAGGGGACGCCAGGGGAGTGCCTTGGGGCGAGCGGCTCGCCTTCCGCTGCTTCTTGCCCGCATCCTCCTCCTCGTCCTCCTCACTTGACTCCCCAAACAGGTCTCTCTCCGTCACCTGCTGCTGCCGCACCTTGCGCCCATCCCCACCTGCCTCCTCGCCCTCCCCTCCACTCCCCTCGCTGTCTCTGTGCCACCCTGCGCCTGTTTCCCTGCGGCACCGCGGCGGCAAATCCGTAAGCGGGAATGGGAGGCGACAACAGGCGAGTGGGGATGGTGAGGGTGCGGGGAGGGGGCAGGGAGCAGAAGGGTGAGGGGGCGGGGAGCAGAAGGAGGACGGAGGCAGGGGGGGCACAGGCAGGGACGGGATGGAGGAAGACAAGAGGGGAGGCAGGAAAGGAGGGAAGATTAGGAGGGACGGAAGCGAGAGAAGGATGGGAGGAAGGGAAGAAGTGTGGGAAGCAGGGAGGGAAGAAAGGAGGAAAGCAGGGAGGGAGGGAAACAGGAAGAGGAGTGGGAAACAGGAAGAGGAGTGGGAAACAGGAAGAGGAGTGGAATACAGGAAGGAAAGAAAGGAGGAGAGAGCACACGAAAAGGAACGGAGATCTTTTACCTGGGAGAGCGAGGGGAGTGGCGATGCTTGGGAGAGCGCGGGCTCCTGCCCCTCTCCTCCTGCCTCTCCTCAAACTCCTCCTCCTCATCCTCCATGCCCCCTTGCCTCCCCCCAAACCCGCCTCTCCTCCGGCCCCCCCCCCCCCATCCCCATCCCCATCCTCCTCATCATCATCATCCACCACCTGTCGCCCCCCTCGCCGTCTTTGTGCCTGGCCTCGCGCACGCTCCCCCTCCCGCTCCCGCTCCCCATCCTCTTCCTCGTCGCTCCCCTTCCTACTTCCCCCCCTGCCTTCCCGCCCGCTTCCCCCGTTCATCTCTTCTCTCCGCCCCTCCGCCCTCCCCTCCCCCCTCTCCCCCCCTCCTCGCCGGTCGTCCCAGTCGTCACCCGAGCCGCTTCCTCGCCTGCCACGTGGCTGCGTATTTATGGCGGGAAGAAGAGGAAACTCGATAAGAGCTAGCGTCAGGTTTCTGGTTCTCCCACCCGATAAGATGCGAACGGGAAACCAAGTAAACCGGACGCTACAGCGCAAGGCATGAGATTTAGGATGCGAGAGTGAAAGGATGTCAGTCATATTGAGCAAGGTGAAAAGGTTTCGCCGGCCGACGGCGGCCGTGGCGCGGTTCATCGCCCACCTCATCCTTCGCACTCGCGTCGCTGCCCGAGCTACTCAAGCTGCGACGTTGGCGATCATCGCCAGAGCGCGCAGGGCTACCCTTTTCGTCGCCCGAGCCGTCCGAGTCGGCCCCGAAGAGCGACTCCATCACGTCGTCGCGCCGCTCCGCCATGATGGCTCTACGCGGCTGCTAGTGCTGGCCTTCAGCACGTGGCTTTTAACACACAGGCTTGCGGCGGGTGAAGCAATGCACAAACACCGAGCGTGCTCGAGGAGGATTCCGATCTAAGTTAGCGTATTTTCCGCCTATGTAACACCCTAGCTTCCCTACGTATAAGGTAACGGCTGGGTGCTTATGGTGGCTAGAAATAGCAGCAAACCCATGCGCGATAGATTTCGAGATTTATGCGACAGCGGCGAGACGCGAGCATTGGAAATGGCTGTCGACTGGCGTCAGCGTGACGTGGAGGTGACAGGAACAAGCAGGTGAGGAAAGCGGGCTGCCGTGTAGCCAGCTACTAGGCGCGAGCGCTTCAAGATTCTTGAACGGTGGTTGTCCGTCATATCTGATGAGAACCAGTGGTGCGTTGCGGTTGGGCTGGGTGAGATGAGCGCGCTATTACAGTTCTCGATACAGCTTAGTCGAAACACACATTTACACGTAACTGGTTGTTATGGAATCGGTTTCTTCTATTTCAGCTTTAGGGCGTGAAACATTTGGAATTTGTCGTATTTTTCGTATGATCTCCGAGTTGCACCGTCGTCGAGTTCGGTCCATGCCCCGTCTCGACCTGAAGTTGGAACATTTGAAGCACACATCCAATAATATACACACGGATGACGTCATCACATGCCGCCCCGCCCGCCCTGGCACAAATAGGATCCGAGGCAAAACGAAAAACCCGCGGAATCCCTCCGGGCCCCCGAAAATTCCCGGCTGACCAGGCCAAAAAACCCTCCGAAACCCGCGGGTTCAATGTCGTATTCTTATGACAATATATATGTCAGCCGTAACAGTAGAAATTGATGGAGCTCGACGGGAGACAACTCGATATACCATTGTAGAATAAAAAAAAGTGTTTCGTAACACAAAATATCAGCCAAGTAAAGGCACTAAAATTTAAAATACAATTGTTACTTTTTTTGCAGACTTTTTGTTCTCGACGGAAGGGGTATTTCCGTCGAAAATGTGTCAATTCTCGACGGAAGGGCGTTTTGTTAAACTGTATTATGCTTGTAGGCTGTAGTGGGGTAGCCAATATGGGGTACAACCCCAACTAGGGTTTCATATTTGTACCCAAACTTCTGCTAGTTCATTCATTCTTGCCTAGTGATTCTGATATGGTATTCAGAGCAGGAGGTCCCTAGGACCTACCGACCGTTTTTTTTAGGGCCCACCACCGCTCGCATGCGGTTACCACGCTACCCCGTGCCCTAGCCTCGTAGCGCCCTCGTGCGCCCTCGTTAGCGCCCTCGCGCGCCCCTCGTTAGCGCCCTCGCGCGCACCCTCGTTAGCGCCCTCGCGCGCCCCTCGTTAGCGCCCTCGCGCGCCCCTTGCTAGCGCCCTCGCGCGCCCCTCACTAGCGCCCTCGCGCGCCCCTCGCAGTGTCGCCCGCCCGCCGAGCCGCCCGCTCGCAGCCCGCTCGTCCCGCTGCCCGCTTCGCAGCCCGCTCGCCCCGCTGCCCGCTTCGCAGCCCGCCCGCCCGCTCGCTGCCCGCTTCGCGGCCCGCCCGCTTCGCAGCCCGCCCGCCCGCTCGCTGCCCACTTCGCGGCCCGCCCGCTTCGCAGCCCGCTCGCCCCGCTGCCCGCTTCGCAGCCCGCCCGCCCGCTCGCTGCCCGCTTCGCGGCCCGCCCGCTTCGCAGCCCGCTCGCTCGCTGCCCGCTTCGCGGCCCGCCCGCTTCGCAGCCCGCCCGCCCGCTCGCTGCCCGCTTCGCGGCCCGCCCGCTTCGCAGCCCGCTCGCCCCGCTGCCCGCTTCGCAGCCCGCCCGCCCGCTCGCTGCCCGCTTCGCGGCCCGCCCACTTCGCAGCCCGCCCGCCCGCTCGCTGCCCGCTTCGCGGCCCGCCCGCTTCGCAGCCCGCTCGCCCGCTCGCTGCCCGCTTCGCGGCCCGCTCGCCCCGCTGCCCGCTCGCAGCGCCGCCCGCCCGCCCGCTACCTGCTTCGCAGCGTCGCCCGCTGCCTCACTGCCCGCTTGCTGCGTCGCCTGTCAGAATGTTGTAATTGTCTAGCCTGCAGTGGGGTACTCTATAGCGAGTACAACCCAAATTAGGGTTTCCTATATGTACCTTGCATGCTGCTAGTACAACCCCTCTTCTCTGTTCTATCTTTCGTCCTACCATCTCGATATGGTAACAGAGCGTTCACGCTCCTGGCCTGTGGGCCCCACTGCTGCTTCCGCTGCCCTACTCTGTGTCGCGCGCCCCGTGGCGCGCGACCTTCACATTTTCATCCCGCCGCGCGCTCGGGGCGTGCGGCGGTTTTCTCCCCGCCGTGCGCACCGAGGCGCACGGCGGTTTCCTACCGTGGGGGACGCCCGCGGCCCCCCGATCCCGTCGCCCGCGGCCCTCCGGTCCCGT